CCAAGGATTTATAGCAATCCTTTTCTTTGGCATTTTCCCACACACAAGTCTTAGAGGCAAATAGATGGAAAAATTTTACAAGAAGCAAAACAAAACAACACCTCCCAGCCCCCCGTGTATTCCTATTTTAATAGTGAAATAAAATTAATAAATTCAGAACTGGTGACTTGTATTCTTACCTGGTTCCAATCTTGTCATACTCCTATGAAACTGTTTTCTTTGGAGTTGGTTAAGTTTTCAAATAAATGGAGAAGAAACCAAGAAATCGTCATATAAGAGATTATAATTTAGAATGTTCATTGGACAAATTAATGCTTCACATAACGGACATTCCTACATAGCATGTTTACTGCTGAGTTGCATAATTAGCTCCACGGTAAAGTCTCCGCATCTATATGTGCTGTCCTATCAGGCTGCAGTGAACTAGCAAACGCTGATGTAGGATACTACTTGTAAATTCTTTATCTTACAAGTACTATCCTATAGCAGAGTTTGTTAGTTTACTTCAGCAGAGTTCTTCAAAGTGCAACAATGTTTGTGCAGATTCTGATGGGGGTGGCTGGGGCAGAAAGGTGCTTCAGTGCGGTGGCACCTGATGGCTAAATAATATCTTATATTTTCCAAAATGTAATTAAAATATTAATTATTAAAAGCTTCTTGCACTAGCTGTCTAGGATAGGGAAATATAGTTATTTTATATTATCCTTATTTTTAGAAAAATAATCTGGACTGTCCCTGCTTGGCATGTAGCTGATGTAAAATGACTATTTGCTTTCATACAGCCCCTAACATAGGCATTAGGGAAAGGGGAGATAGGAAAAAGCCCAGTCAGTATGTACTGTGCTGTGAATATTCTGGAACATTGTAGTGGTCAAGTGTTGTCTGAAGTCAGTGCAGTTTAAAGAAATCCTATTTAACTTATCAAACTGGTATTTCTTTTTTAAAATCTATTTTGAACCATTTATAATATAACTAGATATCAGGATCTCAAAACTGTGCAGCAACAGAACAACCAATTAGTAGTAATTGAGACAGATGTATCCTATTGTAAGACAAGTATAATATTTTTCTGGAATCAGTAGGAATGTATGCCATATATTTGTGCCTGCAGACTCGCATTCAATCCACATAATCCTTCAACTTCTGCCCTTATTTCTCCATCCTCAAGTGCACGTTCCTTTTCCCTACACAGATGCATGTATTTTCATAATACATGCTGATAAACATTTTTATTTATCTCAAGTAGCAACGGACCAGTTAAAACAAATATAAGTAGGCATAGTACAATATTATCTCCTTATTTTGCTTTAAATGGTTAAAGAGGCTTATGGACAAAGGCTTTAGGTGCCCCACCACTTAATTACTATTATAGTATGGAAACGTACTCTATCTCAGTGCAGTCACAAGTACAATGCATTTGCTTAAAAGGCATCACCCTATTAGGAGGTGATAATCTTATTGGTAAATATAAACCAGTTTTGTTGATTCAGGGGTATAGTTTATTACCATACCTAAATATGAGGTAAATAATTAGTGGCCCTCAATCCGAGAGAGAGATAGTTTTGTACAAATGTTCTAAAGGAAAAAATATCAAAATGTGAGTAGGACATGGCAGAGACATGAAATATGTTAACTATAATGGTATCAAAGCTGGGAGGTTAAGCTATAATTCTATAGGCATCTTGGATGTACTTTTCACAAAAGGCAGAACCAGAACAAGTGTTTTTATTGTGACTGAGTACATAGTTTAATTTGGAGTGGGACACACACTTCAGTTCATGGCACTAAAATTTTCCAAAATGTGTGTCCTCTGCAGTATGCATGAAGGTCAGGGTGGGAAGATAGTCTCATCAGTAGTTCTCCCAGGCCTCAGCTTTCATTAAGCCTAACAAATGTAAAAAAGTGTTTTGTTGTTATGGCTGCAAGGAAGACTATTAAGTGAATGCAGTAACGCTACATGTAGTGAGATCCACGTAAGAGAGTCAAAAAACCTAATACATTGTTTTTTTGAGAATAAAATGTGGATTTATTTTAATTTATTGTTTTATTTCTACAAATACATTATCAAGGGGAAATTTTAAAACTCTATTAAGTATTAACTAATAACATACAGAAGTGGATTATAATAAATTGCAATATTTATTGATGTGGTTCAAATTGCTTGTTACTGAAGTGAAAATTAAACATGGTAATAAATGAAATCTGATAATAGAGTGTTATGTTTCTATTATATAAGAATATTTTTTGTATTGTTTTAGCTAAAATCAGTAGTAATATGAAGCCACAGATTATACGTTTATGACTTGGTCCTCAAATTAGTATAGAATGCATTACCAGGGATACGTGCTATTAAGTGCTACTTTGTGAAAGTACTATGTGATGAGGCTTTCATGCTTTATTAGTGTTAGTTTTAGGTAATAAAAACTTAAATAAATTTACTCCCTTTCCTTTCCAATTCATCTTTTCTCTTATTCTCAGAGGTAACAGAACAAATGGCAGTAACACAACTTAAATCCACGTCCAGGTTGATTCTGAAGTTGCCTAAGTGGGATATGGGTAGGATTTATTTGCCTATAAAGCAATGAGCAAGAAAGAGCCTAGCTATATGGCACTCAGCTGCGGTGTTCTGATTTCAGTCTACCCAGCTGCTATCCCATACCCTTGCAATTAAGGCAGTCACCTAGGAAGTGGACATGTGAGTTTCAGTCATAGAGAAGTAGGTCTGGAAGGGACCTCCAGATGTCATCCAGTCAAACCCCCTGAATGAGGCAGAATTATATCTATCCAAAACATCATATAGAATTTATAATCTAAACCCTACTGTCACAAACCAGACATAATACCCTAACCTGCCAAAGGTCAAGCAGCTTCAAGCCATTGGTCCACATCCTCTGCTCTGCAATAAGAGAGAAAAGATGCTTAAGAGGGGACATGATAGGAGTCTTCAAATGCTTGAAGAGCTGCCATAAAGAAGAACCATCTCTGGACCCCCTCTAACTTGTCCATGTCCTTTTCAAAATATGGAGCCCAGAACTGCACACAGTACTCCAAATGAGGCCTAACCAGTGCCAGGTAGAGAAGTACTATCACCTCCAACATTTTTCATATAGTGCTTCTATTAATGCACCTAAAACAGCATTTGCCTTTTGTGCAGCTGTATCGTACTGCAGACTGCTATCCAGCCAAGTGTCACCCATTTTATATCTGTATTTTTATTATTATTCTCAAGGTGTAGCCCCTTACATTTGTCTGCATTGAATTTCATCCTGTTAGCTCTAACCCAGGATTAGAGCTTTCCAATCTGTTGAAATCTTTCTGAATTGTGTTCTGATCTTCAGCATGTTCATAATCCTTCTCAGTTTTGTGTCATGCAAATTTGTTCAATAAATTTTCTGTACCAGCATCCAAAACATTAATAAACATATTGAACAGCACTAGGCCCAAGACAGACCACTGCAGGACTCCACTTGAAACCTCCTACCATTCTGATATGGACTGGGTAATAATTAGTTTTTGCTTGTGGCTATTGAGCCAGTTTGGATCCACCTTATAGTAGTGTTGTCCAGTCCATATTTCTCCAGCTTGTTTATGAAAAGGTCACGTGGCCTTGTCAAGCTACTTGCTGAAGTCGAGATTCACGATAATCACAGCATTCCCTTCATCAATCCAAGTAGTTAATGTGTGAAAGATGGAAATCAAGTTTGTTTGACATTTCAAAGATTTCATAGATTTCATAGACATTAGGGGCTCAACATTTATTTTTCATAAATCCATGCCGGTTTCTTGTGAACATCCTTTCCTCCTCCAGATGCTTGCATAGGGCCTTCCTTAAGATCTCCTCCTGTAACTCCCCAGGTACTGAAGTGAAGCTAACTGGTCTGTAGTTCTCCGGGCCTCCTTTTTGTCTTTTTTAAAGGGGTGCACTACATTGGCTCTTTTCCAGCCCTCTGGTACCTGGCTTGTCTCCCACAACTTCATGAAGAGCATTGCCAGGGACTCTAATATTTCTTCTTCCAGTTCCTTCAGTACTCTGGGATCAAGTTCATGCAGCTCTACTGATCTGAATTCATTCAGACCCATCAAAAGCTCTCTGACCATGCCTTTTGTTATCTCATCCTCCAGCTTGGCCTCTTCCTTATCTAAATAATCCTTATTAAGTTTTTATCTGGCTGCAGCTTAACCTTTTTGTGAAGACAGAGGCAAATGATTTGAAGCAACTTGAGATGAAGAGGGTCCCCAAAGTAGTCTTCCCTTGCCAATGTGAGTGCTGTAAGCACTAGAATGTTATGTGAAAGGTGAACACAAGAGCCGCCACCTGCTATTTACCTACTTTTAAAAACAGAATCAGGTTCCAAACAAATAGAGAGCTTTAATGTTCAATGTGAATCAAACATTTAAACCCATGTGAAGGGTAGTTCAGACAGATCCTTGTGCTTAGCACTTTCTACCTGCTTCTATTCAGTGTTCCTGAGCTTTCTATATTGCTGTTTGGAGGCGTTCAGCTGTTTCTTTTTTGTTTGTTTGTTTTTTGTTTAAAGAACCTAGGCACCTCATCTGGACAAAACAATCATTCTGCTTGGGCAAGGCTCACAAATTCCAGGAACTGACACATATATTGCTAAACCGGTGATGGTTTTTGAAGCCAAAAACTCCTCATCTTTTAGGGAAAGTATAACAGAGTTTAATTAAAAATATGAAAATAAAAATCACATTAGAAAGTGTCACTATATTTGTTAAACACAGCACTGTAAAAAAAAAAATGAAGAAAAAAAGGAAAGGAAGAAATAAAAAAGTAGTAAAAGTAAATTAAGTAAGAAGTAATGGTGTGGATATCTGATGAACTCTTAGAGTAAAAATTAAACTGAGAGAATCTCCCTGCAAGATAAGGATTCAACCCATCCAGGATTCAATTAATGACTAGGATGAGCAAAACTGTTCTGTTTGTTTTGTTTGCTTTTTTTTTAATGAGTGACTTCTTTTCTTTTTCTTATTATTTGCAGTTGTTTTTGGACAGTTTGCCTATTTCCAGACAGCATTGAATGATGTGGCAGAATTATTTGATGGAGAAAACCCCCAGGCTAGACTTCTCAGCTCACTCTCTGGATCTCATTCAGGTAAAAAAAAAAAGTAAAAATAAGTATTAATCATTCATGTGACCCAAGCATGGATGTACAGCACATTATAGGCCAGATTTTCAAAGGTAAGCAGAAGTAACTGTAAAGGTGTAACTGTAAATTACTGCAGTATACTACCAAGGGAAATTGTTTATTCCCATAATTTAAAGTACTTAAATCAAGACTGGATGCCTTTTTGGAAGGTACTCATTAAGCTAGCTCACATTATTGAGCTCAGTGCAAGAATAACTGGATGGAAAATTTGGTGGCCTGTATTATACAGTGGATTAAACTAGATGATCTAATGATTCCATATTGCTGTAAAGCTGCACAGCTATGTTTTTGTGAGTCTAATTTAAACACAACTATTTTTGGGATTAGTGAGGAAGAGAATTTGAAAATTGGGCCTTTTGTTAAGTCAATGATAAACTCTTATGGATTTTAGTGGAGGTAGAATTTTCTCTCTACTTTGCATGCATATTTCTGGGGTTTAAGTATCTAAAGTGAAACGGATAAACAAGTTTATAATTGCATTTGTATAATTTCGAACAGCTGGCCTCATAAAGAAATATGACTGACATATATTTAAGAATTTAAGAATATATTGTTTGTCATTCTTCTTGGTTTAGAATTTGTGGCTTCAGTTTTTGTCATTAGAATTATATCTTTTATTGGAACAATTGATCATGCATCTGTTTGGCAAATGAATTAGAAACATATTCACAGTTGAAAAATAAAGTAACCTTTTTGAATGAATCATATCTACTTAGGTAGCAAGGGAAAAAAATCAAAATTAATTTTAATGATATTTGCAGGAGTCTAGCTATGAAATAAAATGCTCAGTTTTTAATTGCTAATAAAACAGAACTAAACTTATCTGAACATCCAATTTTATTTTGTCACATCCGTATCAACAAAGTCAAAACCAATACCCATTTTTCTTGGTAGATATTTTTAAATGATTGAAGGGCAATAAAACTTGCAATTTTTTTTTTTATTTCCAGTGATATTAATTCCAGCAGAATTAATGTGACAGGTTCAAACCTCATTTACGTTGGTGTATATCAGGAGGATCTCTATTGAAATGACTGGAGTTACAACAGAATAGAACTAATATTAATGAGAAGAGCATCAGACCTATTGCAAGTTATTTAAACTGTTGTAAATCAACACATTTAAGAAATCTAAATAAGATTTCTAGGTATACACTGATATAACTACAAGCAAGATATATACTCTTGTCATAATCAAAAGCCAACTTTGCAAACATATAAACATTTAAAATCAAACTCTTCATTTCTGAGCTTCTATCAAGATCTGAATGTATTTAGCTAATAAGAAAATTGTGTAAATATTTTGAGCATCTATGGCTTCTTAAATTAGTTTGCCAAATTTACAGTGAGTTCCTTAAGGAGAGGAGAATAAAATATGGCAGATGATGAGCCAGCATTATTTGAAATTGAATTGTTTTTAGAAAGTCTATTTAATTTTATTATTAATGTGTATGTGTATATTTCAGAGGCAGAAGAAGATTCACTAGAATAGGATAGTTGAGACAATTTTATTTTACTTCACTTATGTTTTAAACTATATACTTTGTATAGAAACAGCTTGGTGCCCCTCTGCTATCCTTTCAACTCTTTAGTGCACTATGGGATGCAAGAAAAAGCTGTCAACCCACAAAAAAAACCCTGGCAAAAACATATAATAATGATGGTCCAAAACAGTAATAGATTCCGCAGGCAAGACACTTACTGGAGCACTAATCCCAACAGCTGCAGTAAATGTCAGGAAGTGTGTATACAGTATAGTTTTACAGAATAAAATTATATGGTCTGTGACTGTCTTTATACTGATAATGGCAAATATAACTCTGTAAAATATGAAGGAATGAAATGAGGAAAAATGATAATATTGTCTGTCAGAATTTTAAACAAACATTTTGCTCAAATGTAATTTCTTTGTCTAAGTCTTCAGCTTGAGTTTGCCATTATTGAAATTGTGTCCTTTCCTCCTCTTATCCCCTTACCCTTACTTTTATAGGAGAGACTTTGCCTTTGGCCACATCCAATCAGATTCTATTGCGATTCAGCGCTAAGAGTGGAGCATCTGCCAGAGGTTTCCATTTTGTCTATCAAGGTAAATTGATTGGTTTTTACTAGGGCCTTTTAGAAATTGTTAACAGACACTGTGTTGCCAGTATCATATATAGTATTGACTAGAAGGTTTTATTGGGCCATAGAATGTTTATAGTGGTCTTTTTCAGCTGAAGGAGTTGTACATGTACGGTGAGACAAATTGTTCTTGGGCATTTTGGAACTGATCCTCAAGTGGTATAAATTGTCACACATCCATTGACTTCACCAGTCTATGCAAGTTGGGAATCAGTTCATAGATTCATAGATTCATAGATTAAGGGTCGGAAGGGACCTAGTAGATCTTCTAGCCCGACCCCCCGCCAGGGCGGGAGAACAACAAAAAACCCCAAAAAGAGAAATGGGACTCAAACGAGTCCAGCCAGGTAGGCATCCAGCCTCTTCTTAAAGACCCCCAGGGTAGGGGCCAGCACCACTTCCCTTGGAAGTTGGTTCCAGCTCCTAGCCGCCCTAACCGTGAAGTAGTTTTTGCGGATGTCCAATCTATACCTCCT